TTTTAACATTCTTCTTTGGTAACTGATCAAGCAGACTTGCTGGAATATTATATCTCTACCATACCATGTCTTCCATAACATGAAACCAGACATAAAACCATAACATCTCTTCTAAGCAAAGAGTAATTGCTGAATTTGTTAAGTTTCAGAGGGGGTGTACTCATTTATGCTGTGCACTGTACATATGATGTATTTTGAACTTTGGTCTAAAACTCTGCCTTGGCTAGGGGTATATGCTTCCCCTATTATATCTGGAGTATTTTGGCCTCACAGTATGCATGCATGATGCTAACATGAAGGCCAAGTTGCATCTCACCATTATTGCTAGAGTAAAACTATAGGTAGACCTGCCATCTGTGCATATAAAATGCTCTGACAATAGTTCTATTCGTTAAATGTTTTAGATTTGTTGAAGAAATGTGAGTGCTGTTTCCTTGACGCAAAGATATTGTGAGTGGTTTTGTGGCTGCCAGTATTTTAGTATTATCTATATACTATTATGAAATGTACTAATATTTTAAATTAGCTCTTGTTTTTATTTTTTTTGTTTACATTTTTTTTATTACTTTTTAAAAATATTTGTATACATTTTAATTACTTTTAAAAATATATATTTCTATTTAGCTTCTTTGTATTTTAGTTTTAGTCACTTTATTGCTGTCGTTATGACACCAGTTAGGGATATTGCTGATATAACGGCTATGTTGCACGCTTACCTTGGAGGTCTCAAAGAGCAGATCTCTGTCTCCTGCAGTGATCCTGAATGTGTTGCTATCAGAGACGCCATAGGAACAGATCTGACCAATCGGCAGAGACTCCAACGCTTCAGCCTCACCCTGACGATACAGAGACACACAGGAAGCCGCCACGCCCAGCCACAACTTCTGAGAGAAGCTTCCTGTCGAGCTCTATGAGAAACAGGAGGATGATAGGCACAGCTCTGATTGTCTGGTGGTACAAACCTTTAAGATTTTTCAATGTTTTTGAAAGAAGCTTCTTAGGCTTATCAAGACTGCATCTATTTGGTAAAACAAAATACAGTAAAAACAGCATAGTGAATTATTATTACAATTTAAAATAACTGTTTTCTAACATATTCCTCTGAGGCAAAGTTGAATTTTCAGCATCATTACCCCAGTCTTCAGTGTCACATGATCCTTCAGAAATCATTCTAATATGCTGATTTGCCGCTCAAGAAAATTTCTTGTTATTATCAATGTTGAAAACAATTATAAAGTGAAAACCACTCACGATGTAAAAGTCCACTTCATAGAGCGTGCAGCCAAACCCCGACCACTGCCGGGCGATGGTGAGATAGGCGGCCATGCTGTCTCTGCGACTGTATCCCGCCAGGGCTTTCCAGCGCTCCAAAATGGCCGACATCACCACGGCTCCCTCTTCCCTTAGTCTGGCCCGCAGTCTTTGGTCCTGTTCCTGACGCCGCTTGTGTCCCCACAGCGTCCCAGCCAGCAGACCCCCGGGGAATGAAGGACAGCCAGGGGGATCGACAGGGGTCAGTAGGGCCCTGGCCTCCACCACTTCAGCTGGAAAGAGCTGCTCCAAGGGTGGGTACGGTGAGAGCGCGCTGAAATCTCCCAGTAGACACTGCAGTCTCAACGCTGCCAGGGAAAGAAGGTCGTCCTCACAGGCTGGCAGCTGCCCCCGCACCACCATCTCATGACACTGAGACAGAGAGAGGGGGGAGGAAGTCAAGCGAGGGAAAGTTTACCGAGTTCACTAGTGTGCTGTGTTTGTATGTTTGCCTTTCACTCGACTGATAAAGACGTTATGCACACATCAGTCCACACAAGTGTGAAACTAGTTGGAAACAAACAGAGAGGAAGAATTGGAAAATCCCTGTTTTAAATGTTCAGAGGAAGATATCCATTATTATTATTATTAGCCTTTTATAAAACACATTCCACTATAGGCCACTTCTATTTTAGTCTTCTTTTTCGCTGTATATTTTTACTCAACAGTCAAGTCACCTTTAGTTTTTCACAGTATTGAACAGGAAAGTAACAAAACCATTTATGCAAACTTCCGAAATGAGGCAAATCCAAATTCTGCCATAAAACAGCTGTAGCCAGACAACAGTGTCATTATTCAGCTCCAGTCAGTTCAGTGTTGATTCATTTGAGTTCAATAACTGTGTAAAGTTCTGTGTGAGCAGCTCTACTGAAGACATGTTGTTACTCAGCTCAGTTCAGTTTAACGTTAATTTAATTCAGTTCATTAACAGTGTGAATATTGTAAAACTCATGAATTTCAATCATCAACATTCAGCTTAGGGGTGGGCGATATAACGGTGGACACGATTAACCGGTAGAAATTTGTCAACCGGTAGAGATTTTTTATTATTGTCTCTATCGCGGTTACACGCTCACGTGATGTTGCTGTGCTACGCAGTCACGAAAACGTATCGTTTGCACGTGTTTTTAAACATTGCGCTGTCTGAGAGACGTTTCTGAGCGCAAGTCAGAGAGGCGCGCACATGTGAAGACGTGCTCATAGAGCGCGGGAATATTGAAGTTATTTTTGCCGCTTTATAGGCCATGAATGGTAAAATACACACACTTTTAGGTGTCAAAATACTGGTATTTGTAATTATCTTTGTAAACACACTAATTAAGGTCTTAAGTGAAAGCAAACTGCTGAGAAAGAAGACATGTGTAACAGTACATATACTGGATCCGGGCAGCTCTTAAAGTGACAGCAGTCTAATAAGTCTGTCATTCATGTTAATCAAACAACAAAAGAGAAAATCTCTCACTGCTCTTGACTAAATCACTTTTGTAACTTTAATAAGAAGAAATATATATTTAATTTGCACTGTTTTTATACATTTGATTACTTTATAAAATGAATGTATCATTTCTTATTTATACTGTAGTTTTTTTGTCCTATTGTTTGTAATTAGTTTCTTATTCTTATTTGATCGTTGACCGTTTACTTTTCTTCAGTGAGCTTTTTTTTATTTTTATTTAGGCTAGTAATGGTTTCTTGTGATATTGAATTATGATTTATATCAAAAGTATAAAAAAATTTGATATAAAAACCTTATTTAAAGCAAAAATAGCTATATCGTGATATATACCGTTACAGTGAAATAAAATGACTCATATCGTGATATAAGATTTTGGTCATATAGCCTACCCCTAATTTAGCTTTTTCATTTCTGCTCATCTCCGCCCGTCTCTTGTCGTTTTACCTGCTCATACAGGAAGAGGTACTCAATGCTGTCTGTACTGATGTTGTCGGTGTCCAGGAGACAATACAGTTTAAAGCAGAGTCGGCACTGGCAGTCAGAGTCTGGATCTTTAGCTGACAAACTGGAAGACAGAGATAGAGATTCATTAATGGAAAATGCATATGAATCAGATACACATCTGAAGAGGGCCCCTTATTATTTAACCCCTTCTCAAGCATCCTAAAACTATGTATTTGTCTTAAACTATGAGTCTTTAAGTAGCTCAGGAGACTTGTCAAGCAGAGCATGGCGGCAACAAATGAAATCCGCCAACGCTTCCTAAACACACAACTAAAATCACCCCAACAAAGCGATGTCATCATTCCAAAACATATGACTCACCCTGATTTGCTAAGCTTTTACTGCTGCTTGTGCAGTTTTGTATGCGCGGGTTTGTTTGTGTGTGTACACATATATGAGTGTGAGAGAAAGACTAGGCGTGTGTCCATGAACCCACTTCTGGGAAGAATTGGCACTGAGACGTGCAAAAACACACAAACACACTTCCCAGAATAAAGCGGATGCCTTGAATTCTGGCTGGCTTGGCTTATCTCTCCTTCAGTTTGCTTCCCACATCAGTTAATGCTGATGACATCAGTTTCACCTTGAGATCCCTACTGGAACACAGAATACTAATAAAGAGCTGCTTGTCCATTCTCACAGTGTGTGCGTGTGTGTGTGTGTGTGTGTGTGTGTGTATGTGCGCGCATCAGGGGGGTTGGTTAAACTGTGCTAAAGTGCTGGGAAAGTTAATAAATCAATGATGAAAACACAGATCTACACTGTACTGTACTGTGGTGCTATCGTGGATGGTAATATTATTGTTAACTTGACATATTATCATCATTATTGCAACTTGACATATACCATGGTACTGATTGATTACATGGTCTTTACATAGTACTTAAAAAACACCATAGAACTATCACGGTTAATGTTCAAAAAACATGGTACTTGCATGGTACCATGTCCAACAAACTATAGTGCTGTGGTACTTTAGGTTCAGTACATTAGTTGTATTACACATATTACAATAGGCTGAAGATATTTATTAAAAATATTTACTTTTCAAATCTGGTGATGACATCTGCGATTATGGTGCTGCCTCCGATAGCTTTTTCCCAGCACGAGTTATGCTCAAAAAGAGCAAATGTGTTTCGGCTGTCCTGCAGCCCAAGGCGTTCCGCCATCTTCCTCACGACCTGGACAGAGAAAATAAGAGCGAGATTGTTATTTTAGTATTATTTATATACAATTATAGTATTTATTCATATTTTGAATTAGGTTTTATTTTTATATTTTCAGTTTTAATTTATTAATTGTATTAGTTTATATTTCTGTTTAGCTTTTATTTATTTCTATTCTAGTTTTAACTGTTAGTTTAGTCATTTTAGTGCATAAACTTAGTTGCCAAGTTTTTTCATCTAATATTTTTTAATATTTCAATTAACAAAAACAACTTTGATTTAACCTCTTGAGACCCGGCAAAACATTTTAGGAAAAAATGTGTATTTTTTCATGTCATTACATTGTTTAGAGCATTAAAAAAATTATTTAAAAAAAAAAATAATAATAATAATTAAAAATGATATTTCATTCATAAGTTATGCTATGTCCTTGGTAGGAGGACATCGGGACTCAATTTTTTTTTAAATAAAAAGACATGAATGAACATGCATTGGCAAAAACAATTGATTTTTTAAAATCACCAATACATTTTTAGTTTTCAGGATTTGTTTTTACCAAACTTTGTATAAAGATAATTCTCAACTATGTTATAACAGAATGATTTGATATACCATTTTTCTTTATGCAAAATGTGTGTAAAATGGCCATAAACAGGTTTTTTCATTATATTGTGCTCTGTACAGGACATCCAGACTTAAAACTGTGGTATGTATAGTCTCAGAGAAATACACCAAAATATAATGTCCTCACATGAGGATGCAGGGTCTCAGGAGGTTAAAAGTAATTATTTTAGTTTTAATAACAACAGAGAAAAATCCATGTTAAAGTAACAGAGCAAATTAATAAATAAATACATATTCTTACATTTTTGTGGAAGGGTAATTGCAAAAACAGAATTTAACATTACAAAAATAAATACATCTGTCTGGTTATTATTACTTGCATGCTAATGATTAATCTTTTGTGTGCCAATGGTGGCACATGGGCTCAAGGTTCCCAACCCCTGCTATAGAGGAAACGGTTGATGCAATACCTCATTAGCCGTGGTGTGCGAGGTGATCGGTATCTGGCAGCAGCCCGGTCCAGGGTAGTGCACAGTACACAGTATCTCCTGCCTTCCCATCAGCCCCTGGATCTCCTCCCACGAGGGCACACACTCACGGCCGCGCGTCTTCTCCAGAGCCTGGGCTATGAAAGATGCGTAGCTCTCCACCTCCGAGTCCACACTCAAACTCTGAACCCTGATAGCAGAAGAAAGGGATTTTAAGGACCATTTCCATCATTTCGCATCTAAACCGCAAAATTTCCCTCCAAAAAAATCAGAGGGAAGTTGTGTGGCCTCTCTGTTTAGTTTGTCTATTTGCGATATGAAGTGTCAGCCACTTGGTAATCACATGCATGGCGGAGGCCCTTTTGGAGTTAAGTAAACACATGCGGGAAGCGTCTGGGGGCCTCAGGAGAACAGAGACTCGTCCGTCTCCATTACACCAGCCGCCTCTGTAATCAAAGTCCTGTGGTCAACGCACCATTTCCTCACGGCACACTCGTTTATTTAGCCATTCTCTTATTTTCTGTCTATCCTCCAGGCCTGGCAGTACTTTAAGAGTTAATTAGCCATGAGATGCAGAAAGCATCGTGCCGTTTCCCAACCCCTCAAGGAGAGGAAAAGAACGAGCGAACAGGAAGTGCACTTTCCAATCCAGTCAACCTCAGGCAGCCCATATTTCCTACACACTTGACCGCAGGACCGGAGGCAGTTGTGCGTGTTTATACTCAAGGACTTCTAGGTCAGTGTTTCTCAACCAGGGGTCCGTGGACCCCTAGTGGTCCTTGACGTAAGGCCAGGGGGTCCGTATAAAGTATGAATTTTTGTGACATGACATGTTCCCATGAAAGAAAAATCCAATATAGCTGATGATATGGCCAAATACTGGACAAGTCAACTAATTTGAATTATACTTGACTGCATTTGGTCCTCACAAAGATACAAATGATACATAGATGAGTCAATTTTGTTCTGGGGGTCCTTGAGGATGGTTCTGAATTGGACTGGGGTCCGGTACGCCAAAAGGTTGAGATTCACTGTTCTAGGTAACGTTTATGTGTGTATGTTGAGATCCGGCTGGTGGATTTGTGAGTGTACACATTCAGTGCACTGTGTAGATTTGTGATGTGCGTAACCCACCTCTTCAGGTGAAAGCGTAGGTATCGGAGTATGCTGCAGCTGGGCAGGAAGGTGCAGCTCATGCAGGTGAGCAGCTGCCAGTATCGGAGCTGCGGATTCGGCTGTGTCTGTGTCTGCGTCTGGAGACGTAAGTTGGTAACGCTGGTCTGTTTGATAAGCTGGCAGTAGAGTTCATCTCGGAGTGGCCGGAGGTCGAGGCAGGTCTGGAGGATCCCCTGTATGAGAGGAACGGGCTCACGGGCCAACTCCAACTGCTGGAGGCAGTTAAAAAGCCTCACCGCCTCTTCACGGATGGATGTGTAGCCTTTACCTGCCATATCTATGAAGAAAAGTAAGAGAAGGTGTGTTAACGGTGTATATACAGTATATTTTGTAGTCACTAAAGATTCAAACTTTGGATATTTCAACTTCTTTATTCAATAACTGTCCTGGAATATCACACCTTTGTCTCTGTAAATGGTCAAATAAAAGTAGCTGGTGGTCAGATTCTTTGTCCAATCAGAATGCCTTTGAGGTGCTTTTTTGCCTGTCAATCATTTTGTGCATTCAGAGTGGCAATTCATATATAGAAAGCCAGATGCTGAGAGCAAGATAGATAAACTTGAAGCATTTTTCATGAATTTGGTGCAAAATGCATCAAGAACGCCTTTATATAGCCAAATGTCATTCAAGTCAGTCTTCTTGAACAGAAATTGTGATTACATTTCTTCACTATTGTAATGTATATTTCAGTGAAATAGCTGCTTGATCAAGAAAGAAAACGGGACTTGATTTTGTCCATCTGGAATTGATTTGATCATTGGATGGTTGTTTGTTATTTGCTGCAATCTCATGTCAGCAAGTTGCTGGAGGGGAAAGGTCACCAGCTCGTTCCTCAGATATTCTGCCAAAAAACATCAAGTTTGATTTTGATTATCATGTCTATTACGCTGAAATCTTGCGTTTTAAAGCATATTAGTTTAAACTTCTGATATACGGATTTCTGAGCGCACACATCCGAAGCACCTGTCACACAGCATGTGAGTTCTCTTTCATGTCTTATTGCACTTGAACTGTCAAATACACACAAGTATATATTAAAAACATAAACCGAATTACAAAAACAGTCACATGTTTATATTAGATCTGTGTGGCAGCAGCGTAATATACAGTAAATAAATGAATAAATCTCCTCTGAGGCTGGGACTCTAAACAGTGTTCTGTGCTTGTCAGTGCAGCCGAAGACAGATCTCGAACTTTCGCCATGGTGTTAAAACTGGTACACCGTTGTCGCTTGCAAAAACACAATGGGTGGAAACTTGCAGATTAAGGGGTGGTAATATTATAATAAGATCCCCTTTCTACATCGTAGGGGGAGCAAAAATCTGAGTGGCACGTTTTTTCACAAGCTTGCAGAGAAAGGCTTACCAAAAAAATTACTGGGTTGTTCTTTTTGACGTTTTCTGGGTTAGCAGTAGCACCGGGGGCATGATTATAGCACTTAAACACAGAAAAAGTCAGATTTTCATGAGAGAAGGTAAAAGAAATAAGAATGGTTAGTTCTGATTTCATGGCGAATTAAAAAAAACAGGAGACCAAAAAACATCGGTAAAGTTTTTCATTTCGTAAAGGTTTTCAAGGAAGCTGAGAGCTTCAAAGCACTTGAAAACAGATGCCGAGTTTGCTTTGCTTCTGCTTGACAGGTAAATATATTGCTTGGTGACCATGGTTACACCAAAACGGCAGGGTTGTAGAAAGAGGGGGTGTGTCTAATCTGATTGGTTCATTGAAATGTTCTTTATGTGAGCATTGGTGTGTATATGTGATATATGCAACATAAGTGTGTGTGTGTGTGTGTGTGTGTGTGTTTGACTCACGTGGGTGGTGGAGGCTGCCATAGGGGAAAGGCAGCAGTGGGGCGTAAAGGGGGCTCTGCGTGTACCTCAGGATGGGATTATGTTCATAGATGTGTTCTACAATTTCTGGATTGAATTTATTCTCCTGTACAAAAACAACGCACATAAACACACATAAAGCAATGCAAGGTCAATTAAACACCTTGATATATAAATAAACTTAAGACAGATATATCTGCTGTGTATCATTATATCCCCATAAACACATGAGCTGTTTGTTATTGGGTCCGTAATGAAATGATGAAATTATGTTTTATATGGAAATGCTGTGTTTGGGAAAACGGCTGAGGGGGGATGAATGAAAGGGAAACAGATTTCAGCTTACAGATGGACTTGACAACCCTGGTTGTTGTTGAATAATGGCAGTTTATGTTTGTTGTGGGATGTATGCTTATAACAGACATGATAAACCAACCTAAGACCAGTTAAATGTGACAAGACCTCCTGCCGTAACCACTATGTGCTTTATGTGTGAGTTTATGAGAGGTAAAATAAATAGTACATACTAGGGCTGCACAATAAATCATATGCGATATTTAACGTGCATCTTGTCAGAAAGCCGGTTCTGTAATCAGCGGTAAATCTCCATCACGTGCGTGCTTTCACATTGAGCAGTATTAACTACACAGAGCCGTTGTTCACAGACGAGCTGCGCAAAAAATCGCGCGAATATGAACGTGGTTTTGCGCAGCTTGTCAGTGAACAACGGCTCTGTGTAGTTAATGCTGCTCAATGTGAAAGCACTCACGTGATGGAGATTTACCGCTGATTACAGAACCGGCTTTACTGATAAGATGCGCGTTAAATATCGCATGCGATTTATCATGCAGCCCTACTGTACACCATATGAGCTGTAGTCTGGGATGTCTGCCACCGTACTGATTGATGGGTAGCATGCATCTTGTCAGAAAGCCGGTTCTGTAATCAGCGGTAAATCTCCATCACGTGCGTGCTTTCACATTGAGCAGCATTAACTACACAGAGCCGTTGTTCACTGACAAGCTGCGCAAAACCACGTTCATATTCGCGCGATTTTTTGCGCAGCTCGTCTGTGAACAACGGCTCTGTGTAGTTAATGCTGCTCAATGTGAAAGCACGCAGGTGATGGAGATTTACCGCTGATTACAGAATGGCTTTACTGACAAGATGCGCGTTAAATATCGCATGCGATTTATCGTGCAGCCCTAGTACATACATATACAAACTTAAGATTACAACATTTTCATCAAAACAAAGCTTATTTTATTGTATGGTTTTCATTTTTAAAAAGCAATACGGCAAAAATATAGTGTCTTTTAGCAAAGACTATATTGAGAATAAAGCGCAGCCTCCCTTATCTTGTTAAAATATTTAATATCCATGCATATCTTATCTATAAGAGATATATAGCAATCAGCAAGGTCATTTAGGGGTCTGGGCACTTAACATTTCAACCACTGCGGTTTTCACGCCTGTCTGTCTGTCTGTTTATGTGCGACCTCAATGGGATTCCGGGGAGTTCTGTGGGCTAGCAACTAGCATCCTATTAATACAGATCTATCCAAGAGCACCGGCATTACATCATAACAACAGGGTTATTCTGAAGAGCTACTCGCTGCCTTCAAAACTATTTCCAGAGACATGGTATACCGAGGAGCACATCTATAAGTGTAAAATCACTAGCCAACAAACTAAGAATAATATAGTGGGGCAGAAAGATGACAGTGGGTGGGGTTTAGATGGTTTACACACCGTGTCTGTATATGTGTGCCATCCTGAACATGTCTTTAGGAGCTAAGCTGCCATATACATATATATATGCACACACATACAGTGGAGGCAAAAAAAAACTATTATATTATCTTACATTATGCACTATTTTCCAAAATCTGGGGTCAATAAGATTTTTAAATATTTTTGAAAAATGTTCACATGCTCAACAAGGGTGCATTTATGTGATCAAAAATACAGTAAAAGCTGTAAAATTGTGAAATATTGCTTGAATTTAAAATAACTGTTTACTATTTTAATATATTTAAAGGGGTCATATGATGCTGCTAAAAAGAACATTATTTTGTGTATTTGGTGTAATGAAATGTGTTTATGCGGTTTAAAGTTAAAAAACACATTATTTTCCACATAATGTACATTATCGTTTCTCCTCTATGCCCCGCCTTTTTGAAACGCGTCGATTTTTACAAAACTAATCGGTCTGAAAAGCGAGGTGTGCTCTGATTAGCCAGCTATCCAGTGCGTTGTGATTGGCCAAATCGAAAGAGAAAGGAAAAAATGAAATCGCATCATATGACCCCTTTAAAAATGCTATTTATTCCTGTGATGGCAAAGCTGAATTTTCAGCATCATTACTCCAGTCTTCAGTGTCTCATGATCCTTCAGAAATCATTCTGATATGCTGATTTGCTGCTCAAGAAACATTTCTTATTGATGTTGAAAACAGTTTTGCTGCTTAATACTTTTAAGGAAACTTTTTTCAGGATTCTCTGATTAAAAGTAAGTTCAAAAGAACAGCATTTATTTGAAATAGAAATCTTTTATAAATGCCTTTACTGTCACTTATGTTCTATTTAAAGCATCCTTTCTAAATAAGTGTGCACATGCAACATTTACAATCCCTCTTGATATATGTTGACATGCTGTCATGTTCATCTCCGTTGCTGCTTGTTCTCTCACCTCAATGTCTCGTATGAGGAGCAGTGTTGGCGTCTCAACCGGCGCTTTGCTGTCTATGACTTTCTGTACAGCACACGCCCAGTGCACCGCCTCATTGTAGTGCTTTGTGAAGAGTCTGTAGCAATGTTTGCGGCCATACACTGTCAGACTCCAGTAACCTGTCACACATACACATTAAAGAGGCCCATATTTAGTGCAACTCTTTAAAAAGTGCCATTCAACAAAGTGGAGCAATACAAAAATAGCATCTCCTAACAATTAGGAGAGTACATAAAGAAAAGCAAAGAAAAAAAATGCAATAAAACATATGCTTATACTGTTTCTGATTAAAGACAAATGTCCTAGAGCTCCAGCATTCTGACAACCTCATATTTCACGTGTCTGACCTGCAGTAAATGTGTTCAGATGTTCTGAGAGAGCTGGATCTAGATCTTTTATGAGGATCTAACTAATATCTCATTTATCCCGTTGTTAACTTTGGCAGTCAAAAGAATGAAGCTTTAGTTCAAAACACACCATTTCTTTACAATCTCCATGAAGTCCACCAATCTCTCTAGACTGTTTGGGGGCAAGTATTCGCTCTACACAAGCACTCGCAAAGAGCAATATCTAGCAAATTAAATATTTTACAGCAGAACAATGTATATTCGCTGTGGAAATTCATTTCTATGACTATTTCATGGTTACATTCCCTGATATTTCCAGGTTTTTCAGAACCAGTGGGTGTTCTAAAATTTACAGGCCAAAATAGTTGGTGTCCACTGTAAACATCTCCGATTTCTTAGGCGAAAATTGTACCTCATTAATGTTTTCATTAACAGATCTGTTTTACTCTGTGGACGAGCCAAAGCATTAGCCATGATATTATATGACAACTTGTTTGTTAAAAGAAGAAACTGTTTCTATCGTGTCCGCTGTGCTGGATAATGAATGACTCCTGACCAACTGCTGCCCTTGTACACACACACACACACACACACACACAAACACAAAGCTTTACTTTCAGACATACACACTTTTATCTAGGAAAGTCCCTAAAGTTAATCTGGGAAAAGTTCTGAGTTTTGTGGACAGTGCTGGTTAAAAGTTTGTGTGTGTGTGTGTGTGTGTATGATTCAGAACTCAAGCCGAGTATGTGCCATGTGAACACACACACACACATATACATACATATACAGTGGGTACGGAAAGTATTCAGACCCCCTTAAATTTTTCACTCTTTGTTATAATTCACGCCAATGCCGACAAGAGATCAACAGGTCTCACGGCCACTTTGTGCCTGTGATCTGTCCAGAAGATCAGCTCTTTCTGAAAAAATGCGTGTCACTGTGAGTGCAAACCCTAAAATAGTGAGTGAAATATTGTGTTTATATTCCACTGGACTATGAATTCTGGCTCACACCATTTACTGACCAGGACAAAGAGTGACAAACAAATAAAGTCATCCTGGGTTTCTGCAGGCTTTATGAAAACTTTTTAAAGACCTTTTTAAGACCAAGTAAAACAATTAAGGAATACATTGAAGAAAACATTATATCAATATGTTCTCTAAATGTAAATCTCTAGGGAGTAAACAATGAGTCTATGAAGCACACAATTAACTTTCAACTGATCTCCATCACTGAAAAAAACTCATTACAAACCATTTTCAATCAAAAATTGCTAGCAAATTTTACAAGCAATTACAAAGAAACAGCAAGTAACACTTTCAATTAAACATTACGTTTTAAGTAGAAAAACTGAAATAGTATTTTCTTGGGGTGTTCGTTCATACTGACACAATTTTTTTTCAGTATATTTTTGTGGTGTCAAACAATGTTTGAGGAGAGGTTGATTGTGGAATTAAAAAAAAAAAAAAAAAGGAATATTATATGATAAAAATCACCAAAACAACCTTAAAATCATCACCCAAGTCATGAGAAAACAGAGGATGTGGTTTTAGTTTTATGCTCTTTCACCTTTCAGTGCAGAAAGAACTGTTTTGACTGATACCTTATTTATCCCTAAAATGTACATATTAGTATACAGAAAAATAACATGTACCTTTAGGGTACTAAATAAGGCAGAATATTTTCCTTTTAAGTGTGACAAGCTGTTGAACCCCTAAATGTACAATCTTGCACACTTTTTCTGAGAGTGTAAAAACAAGACTAGACTGTCCTAGTTTAATTGCAGACGCGTTACCTGTCTGTTTGTAGGTGTGTTTATCCGGCCACAGCACTGAACAGAGGGATGTGAGTACTAGCGTGCCCAGTCTGCGAGCATCACTCTCCGGGCCGCTGTAGTAGTCAAGAGAGTCTGTTGTCAACACAAACCAGAACCTCCTCTGCCGGAGCCAACCTCCCTGCACCTCCCGCAGGAGCCAGCCTGAAAAACAAAACAGAGAAAAATACCCATATTATACATGATAAATACTGTAACAGACCAATCAAATAAGAATACGGAGATTCCTTTTCAAAACCTGACAAAAATGAATTATGTGTCATTTGAAATATCATTCTTTGAGAGCTAGCTCCCAGCGCTCATGCAGAGTCAGACTGAGTGATCATTGAAAAAGGCGAAACAGCACAAACCAGCCCGTCCACATCCAGCCGAGAGCAGGATACCAAAACTCCACTCACCCAACTTAATAGAGGGTTGTGTTAAAGTCACACTAGGGATAAAATCTCCCTCCAGACCTTCAGAAAGTTTGTTGTCTATGCACAAATGTGTATCAGAGCCAATAATCAAGAAACATTTCATGGGAAAAGTGCTTTTTTTTTAGTAAACCTTCATGACACTTGGACCATGTTACCTTTTTTCCGCTGCTGCTTGCAGATGCATTGCACCTGCTACCTTTCCCTTTGAATATGTGTGTGTGTGTGTGTGTGTGTGTGTGTGTGTGTGTGAGTCAGCCAGACAGACAGACTGGGGGAAGACTGTCTTATTTAGCAGCTCTGCAGGCCAGCATGAGACAGGCTGGCGGAGCATTTGGACCCCTCTACACTAATATTACTCTGCCCTGCTTATTATTACTCATTACATGTGATTGAGTATTATTACCACTCCAATGCAGCAAATACCGCATAGCACTCACATTTGCACACTCTGAGATCATGGACAACTCTGAATAACACACACACACACACTTAAATCTGTGGTCAGCAGCTTAAGTGTTGGTCAACGATGTCTAACTGTCTCAATTGGTGTGTCAGCCAATTCGTGTGTCACCAATAATATTACATGCTATAACTGATGCGCGTGTGTGTGTACTGGGGACTATGGACTGTTCCCGAAAGTGAGCTAAAGCTGACAAAAACTTCCTTTGGGTAGATTTGAGTTTATACTAAATATATTATTTGTAAACATGTATAGTGTTTTTTTAATGGAAAATTTAATTGTAGGTATAGGAGTCGCAGATTGATCAACAAATACAAATAATACTGATTATTTTTAAGTGTTAAATAATCGATGTGTTGTCAACTGATAAATATTGTTTAGTTTCTGTTTTTATTGAGATAGTATTACTTAAATATTACTGTAAATGTAAATTCTGAAAGTAATTCTGAATGTTACAAAAGTTTACAATTTCAAATAAATGCTTTTTCACAGAAATATTGACAATGAGAAATGTTTCTTGAGCATCAAATCAGCATATTAGACTGATTTCTGAAGGATCATGTGACACTGAAGACTGGAGTAATGCCTGCTGAAAATTCAGCTTTGCAAATATAAATAGTTACTTTATAATATTTCATAATACTTTTACTGTTTCATATTATTTTGAATATTTTTTATCAAATAAATGCAGCCTTGGTGAGTATGAGATTTCTTTCAAAAACATTAAAAAAACTATTTGTGACCCTGGAGCACAAAACCAGTCTTAAGTAGCACAGGTATATTTGTAGCAATAGCCAAAAATACACTGTATGGGTCAAAATTATTGATTTTTCTTTTATGCCAAAAATCATTAGGATATTAAGTAAATTCATTGTTCCATGAAGATATTTTGTAAATTTCCTACTGTAAATATATTAAAACTTAATTTTTGAGGAGTAATATGCATTGCTAAGAACATCATTTGGACAACTTTAAAGGCGATTTTCTCAATATTCTGATTTTTTTTTTTGCACCGTCACATTCCAGATTTTCAAATAGTTGTATCCTATCCTAACAAACCATACATCAATGGAAAGCTTATTTATTCAGCTTTCAGATGATGTGTAGATCTCAATTTCGAAAGATTTACCCTTATGACTGGTTTTGTGGTCCTATTATTTTGGGGTCACATTTAATAACTAACTTTTGAACAGTTGCATGTTTATCTGTACACTTGATAATTACCAATAATGATAAAGTTGAATATTAATATTTCTAAACAATATTGCTTCATTTATTATGTTAGTCTATTTGGGTTAGTTTATACTAATTATAATTATATTTATATAAAGACAGTAGAAATATATGGTATGTCCTCATTTAGATGGCTAAGTGTGTGTGTGTGTGTGTGTGTGTGTGTGTGTGTGTG